AATTATATTTAGATCCCCTCATGTTTGCTACTTAATCATTTGAATTGACTGCGGTTAGTTTTAGGTGCACATTGATACAAATTTATATCTTTAAGGGTGTAAATTGAGATTTTTGATATTTGGTAGTGCACATTAGTATAAATTTCTATTTTTTAGGGTGTAAATTGAGATTTTTTATCTTTGGAGTGCATTTTGATATAAATTTATATCTTTGAGGGTGTAAATTAAAATTTTTTATCTTTGAGAGTGAAAATTGAGATTCCAACAATTTTTTGCGGTGCAATTTATAATTTTTTTTTTTTTAGGGAGTGGTGGGGGGGGGGGGGGGGGGGGCGGAGGGGGGGAGATCCCAACAAAATGCATACTTCTCAAAGCATTTTATTAACTTTCTTAAACAAACAATAATATATTTCTGACAACTCAAATTCAACAACCCAAAAAATTAAAGAAAAACACAGCAGTCTTTTCAGTTCTGCTATTATTTGTACTTGCAGACCAGAACACTTGATTCTTGAAGAAGCAATCCTCAAAGCCAATACACATATTCAAGGACATTTGCGAATTAGGTTATGAGTTTTAAGGTTGTAATAACAAGGACAAGCCTCGTAGTTGCCGTAAGTCCCCGGTGGAACACAGTTGCACTTCCCACAGCAACTCTCACAAGCCCTCTTGCAGAGATTGGGCCTCTTCGTCTCTTTGCACCTTCCACTACAAGCTGCTGAGCAATCTGAATTTGGAAGTCATCGATGTTGTCAATAAAAACAGTACCACCACTATAAGCAAATATCCATAATAAACGCACTACTATTGAATCGAGACTAACTTACCTACTCCTAAGATCCAAGAGGACCAATGCCCCATTCCCCGACTCATTACTAGGATTCCACTAGTTTAACCAAATAGAGTTTCATAACTTTGTTTAACATTGTATCATGATATCACATTCGTAAATTGGGTAATTTTATTTTTATAATGTACTAGTAGATCTTACACACGACCACCCATATGCGTGACTGTAAACGACTGAGATAGGAATAAGGCTAGGTGTGAGAAATATGAGAGGGAGAAGAGATCAAGAGAGAGATATTACATAGATAGTTGGGTGTAATTTATAAGACTTTATGGGTAGTTAAGGGCTATGAGGGGTTATTTTTTGTGTTTAAAGTGTCTTACAAACACATATTTACATTGAAAAGCGTGAAAGTAATCAACACTTCCGTAAAGGCTAGCCTAGTTTGACAAATAAGATAAAACCAACTGACAAATTCGAGATGAAGTTGAAAAATGTTGTATATTTTGGTAAGAAATCAAATCTCTAAAAAGTAATACTCAGAAAAGCTACCTATTTTGATCAGGCTCGGGCTCGGGCACGGGGTGTCTGCCTCTGCCGCATTGACACCCATCTGCAAATTTTCATTAAAAATATTATGTTATGAGATCAAAGAAAATGAATCGTTAAGAGAAGTAATACTTCCTATGTATGTAATGTGGAATATAAACATTACCATTTGGTTGACATCAGAGAGATGGAGAAGCAGAAGAGAGAGAAGAAGTGAAGCAGCAAATGATCTTGAGAATGCCATGTTCTATAGAGAGATATGAAGATCGATGGTGATGGTGATGGTGATGAAGAAGAAGAAAGAGATATGTTAAGTCAAATAGTTTTGGACTTAGGTTGGGATGTGAAATGAATGAAAGAGTGATGCATTTATAGTGAAAGACAAGGGTGAAAGAAAGAGTTTGGTCCACTGGACATAGGTAAAAGATTTTCTTTTAATAAAAAAAATAGAAAGAGTTGGATAGGTTCCGCCTCACAATTCTATATATATAATCTGCAAATCTAAGAGAAAAATGAATACAAAATTAGCAAGTTTAAATTCAATCATATCTTTGAGAGTTGGAGTGGTAATCGATAGACTTGTTAAACCTTTGAAATAAATATGTGAACACGAACCCCATTAAACAAAACACAAATCCAAATATTTTACGAATCGATAATAAATTAAACAACATTTAACTTTTAACATGACATGCCTTACACAAAAAAATAACAGCTATACATGCAAGAGCTGGGGCATTCAGTTCTCTCAGTTGCATGTAAGTAGGCAGGACTGGGTAGGTCTCTTTTTTAGATTGAACGATCGTGATGTTCGGATCGACTCTTTTTTTTTTTATTTGGGAGGTCTCTGAGAAGGTTCAGTCTGCCACCGCCAGACCAATTTCACTCAGAACTAAACAAAACAAAGAACAGCTGTTTCCAGACATTAGATTCTTCAGCAGCACATAGACTTACACCCAATATTTAATGGCAAGTTGGTACTTACCAAGAAAGAAAAAAAAATTGCAAGTTGGAATCTGATTATTTCGAGAAATTTTATTTATTCTCCATGTATAACTTGCCACGTGATAGACTTTAAAGATCAAAACACGTACGAGTGTAAACAGTTACATGTTTATGTCATGTGGTGTGTAATACGCTAAAACATTTTTCGATTATTTTTATGTTGTTTTTTTTGAGGAGTCAAATGGTCAGTGATTTGAGTTGGACTGATAATATGAGAGGGTTTAAAACAGTAATTATATGCTGATAAAATTTTAAAATTAAATTTAAAGTGTAAATGACATGGTAACATATTATTTGAAGTGTTTATTGGGACTCAAATGATATGACACCAAATAAAAAAGTCTAAACCAATTACCATGTCATTTAATCTCTAAATTTGATCAGTGTTACGTTACTTAGGTTTAAAAATACCCATGTCGTACTTCAACGTTGAACTGGCCAGTGACAGATAAGTAAGGAATCCTTTCGGATCTATCTGGAAAACAAGCAACGGGGACTATTCGAGGTAATGATAAAATGCTTTGACGTGAATCAATCTCAATTAGTCTTTGAGCTAGTTTAGTTTTCGTAAAGTTTTTGTGACGCAGCAATTATGCATCAAACAAAGAGGGACATTCCAAATTTATAAAGAAAATAGAGAAAAATTCTGAAATATAATATTATTAAACAATTAATTTGTAGTATAAATGAGTAATATAAATAGCAACGGTCAAATTCTTAAAATTACAAAAAATATCAAAAATAAAAAATATGTGATTTTTCTAATTAATATAAAAGCATATGTCATCCGAAGTCTAACGAAACTGACGACGCTGAATTGAGAATCTCTTATCGTTTATTATTATTTTCGGAAATCTTTTCTAAAACGGTAAAAATTGAGTTTTTAAGGGACTAATTGATGGAATTCGGTTCAAAATTGAAGGAGCTTGTGGCAACGTCACGAGTCTTGATCATTGATCCAATTTGGAATCAAACACCACTGGTCCCATTGAATTCTAAGTCTAACTCATTTTGTCTCTATTATTACTTTTTGCACTTTCATTGTACTTTAAAGACACGACGACAATCAACAAATTTCAAATATTCAGCTGCCACTTATTTTACATGATTTTGGTAATTCACTAACTCATCGAATTATTAAAATGAGTTCAAAATATAATTCTCTAACTATTTGAATTTGTCTTTTCTGTCCACTTTCCCATTCAAAAAAAAATGGCCAAAAAATTAAAGAATAATTTGAAACAAGTATTGCAGACTTTTTTTTTTTTTTAATTAAGACTTTTGAATAATATATTCATAACCCAAGACTAGATGATTAATTAGTGCAGTGGTCACACTAGTAAGCTTTTTTCTAGTGCATGCAAGCCCTTTCTTCAGTTAGGCTAAAATCAATCAAATAAATTCCTTTTATTCTCTTGCTATACTCTCCTCTAATATACTCTTTTTTATTTTCCTAAACATAATGTAATTAAAGGTTATTAAATTCAACTGGAATTTCTGAGAATAAACTTTTTTATCCCCTATAACAAAAATTGGAGAAGTAATATTCATGTAGCCGTCAATCCCAAATAGTTGGAATTAAGATTTTGTTGAGTTGATTTGAGTATTCATAAAATACACGGTTTACAAAACGTGTTCAAAATTTTGTGTCAATCACACCTCAAAAATCTCTACATTCGAAATACTACTGGTTCAGACCAAAAAAATAAATAAATAAATAAAATATTATTGGTTTTACAAAACTTCCGAGGATAGTAACTTCCAACATCATTTTATTGACTTGAAAGGGTCTATTTTCAATCTAACGGCAACAATGAAATCGAGTCCAAGTATTTCTGAATGAAGAGTTCCCAACTCTAAGTTATTCAATAGAAACTTGTTGTGGATAATATACAACACTGTCTTAAACACTTCACCATAAGTAAATACAGTCGTGCATGCAATCATTTTTTTGCCTCGTATTACCACAACAGGGTACATGAATTATGTGTTTGAGTTTTAGTGCCTATTTTTCACACAACCAGTCCCAAGGCTGGATAAAAAAGAGGAGTTGTGTTAGGTATACTCAGCGTGAATCATTATCATATCCAATATGAACATGAATCCAATATTTGATAGAGCATAATGAAGAAACACGATTCATATAGTCGATTTCAAATAATTGAAATTAAGATTTTTTTGAGTAGAGTATTATAGCAACATCGTATTCACCAGAAGATAGGGTCACCATCGAAATTCCCTCAACCATACATGTTGACAACGTCGAAATCCATAAATTACTAATGGTCGCCAAATTGTTCTTGAACATGATCAGGTAAACAATGTTACTTGAACTTAATTAATTTATTAATCTAATCATTCACAATTATTGGATTGACTGTGGGTTTCAATATTTATTGGAACTCGTTACCAATTCAATAGTTGTGATGAATTAGATTAACAAAATCATATTAGTAAATTAAGTCTCAATAATATTATTGTGATCAGAATGACATTGAATCAATAAATATTGAGGAAACTACAACAATTACTTTCAAACTTTGGCATATCTTGCTTAGGGGTGCAACTTGGGCGGACCAATCCGAATTCAACACGAGCCAAACCCAAAAAAAACAAAGTTTGAGTTAGAATTTTTAATACTTGCATTGGGCCTAGGCAAAAAAATTCTAACACGAATTGAATTTGGGCAAGTCTCAGGTTGTCAGGTTCAACCCGAATATACATAAATATATTTAACTAGGGTTAGTATTTATTTTCATTCTTTAAAGTCCAAACTTTCACTTCAATTCAAGTTTTCATCTCTATGCTTCCATCACTCTCATATTCCTCTCACTTGTCACTCCTCCTTCTCTCACTCACTATTTTTTCATCTGCGTCTCACCCTTCATCTTAGATCACTTGAAAAAATCAAATCTACACTTCAAAAAAATCAACTCGAATTAAGTAATCCAAACCCAACCCGATTTTTTAACTTGAAATCAATCCAAATTAAGTAACCCGAATTTAACTCGAACCCACTCGAATTAAACTCGGACAATACTTGGGTTGAGTACCTCGAGTTGAAGATTATATATCTAAGATTGGGTTAGAATTGACCTCTCAACCCGCCCAACCCGCTCAAATTGTACCCTTAATCTTGCTCGAATATCACAAAAAATAACCTAGTAAACACAAGCAAATCTGATGAGTTATCGATGGACATTTAATTCAATGGTATTTTTTATCTTGTGAAAGTTTTGTCTTCTTGAAATCAAGGGTTCAAATTCTCCTTCCCTCTTCTTTTCCCTTTAAAAAAAAAAATCCAATGAGTTAACCAATCCATATAATTTTTAACCCACCCTCTTCATGATTACCTTTGTTTTGTCCACTGCACCAAAAAAAAAAAAAATTCCGAATAAGTTTTCTCATCACTTTTTTCCTTCCCAAAAATTTGATAACTGGGACCCACTTCAATTATATCAAACACATATTTCACTCTCGTTATCCTACCATCTCCAAAACATTCTTTTTTCCATAT